AATAGGTCAGTTATCGCAACCAATAGAAATGGACTAAACTACAAAAGAAAGATTGTAAAACTGAATTAAAAGCAAAATCTTGGCATATGCTATTTAAAGAGAAATATCTAAAATATAAACATAAAGACATCAAAATGTTGCAAATAAACAATGAAGAAAATATATATGTTACAAATTAATATTTGTTAAGATTTGCCCATATATTTGCTATTTCTTTGGTCATAATTTCTTCTGGTATTATTTTTCTTTATTTTAAATTATGTCTTATGCATATTCCTTAGAGAGAATATTGGTGGTAAATTAATAGTTTTCGTTCATCTGAAATATTTTTATTTCTGACATCTGAAGTGTTTTCAAAAGATAGTTTTCAGTGAGGCATGGTGGCTCACGCCTGCAATCCCAGCACTTTGGGAGGCCAAGGCAGGCAGATCACCTGAGGTCAGGAGTTCAAGACCAGCCTGACAAACATGGAGAAAGCCCGTCTCTACTAAAAATACAAAAAATTAGCCTGGCATGGTGGCACATGCCTGTAATCCCAGTTACTCAGGAGGCTGAGGCAGGAGAATCACTTGAACCTGGGAGGCAGAGGTTGCGGTGAGCCGAGATTGTGCCATTGCACTCCAGCCTGGGCAACAAGAGCGAAACTCTGTCTCAGAAAAAAAAAAAAGATAGTTTGCACAGTTGTACAGAAATTGCTAATTGTCCTCACATTCATTTCCACTGCTTCTTTGTAATAATATGATCCCCTGAGTTTTAACTAAACACATAACCATCCATCTAGGGACTTGATTTCTTGTAATCCTATGTAAGTAGGTATGACCTTATGACTAAGTGCTGGCTAATGGAATATGAGAGAAAGAGTGCTGCATATACCCTGGGTATTGTTCTTAAATGAAAACCAAATGCTGTCCTCAACCATTTTCTCCCTTTCCAACTGGCTGGAATGAGAACATGCAAGGTAGACAAATTAGAAAATTAATAAATTAGACAAAGAATCCAAAACACAAATATTGGAAGCATATTAATATTAGACAAATCAGACTTGAAGTAAAAAGCATTACTGAAGTTAAATGGTTTCATTTACAATGATTCACATAACAAGCCAATAGGAAGACAACAGTTGTAATTTTTTTAACATTTTAACATAATCTCAGGATACATAAAAAGTTAAAATTAAGCAGAATCAAGAAGTTCTTTGAAACTAATGAGAACAAAGGTACAACTTACCAGGATCTCTGGGACACAGCTAAGGCAGTGTTACGAGGAAAATTCATAGCACTAAACACCCACATCAAAAAGTTAGAAGGATCTCAAATTAACAACCTAATATCACAACTGAGAGAATGAAAGAAGCAAGACCAAACCAACCCCAAAACTAGCAGAAGACAAAAAATAACCAAAATCAGGGCTGAACTGAAGGAAATCAAGACACGAAAAAACATTCAAAAGACAACAAATCCAGTAGTTAGTTTTTTGAAAAAATTAGTAAGATAGATAAGCCACCAGCTAGACTAATAAAGTAGAAAAGAAGAAAGATCCAAATAAACACAATTACAAACGACAAAGGGAATGTTAACCTGACCCCACAGAAATAAAAGTAACCATTAGAAACTACTACAAATACCTCTATGTACACATACTAGAAAACGTAGAGGAGATGGATAAACTCCTGGACACATACACCCTCCCAAGACTAAACCAGAAAGAAACTGATTCTCTGAACAGACCAATAACAAGGTCTGAAATTGAATCCATAATAAATAGTCTAGCAACAAAAAAAAGCCCAGGGCCAGAAGGATTCACAGTCAAATTCTACCAGATGTACAAAGAAGAGCTGGTAACATCCCTTTTGAAACTATTGCAAAAAATTGAGGAGGAATAACTCCTCCTCAACTCATTCTATGAGGTCAGCATCATCCTGATAGCAAAACCTGGAAGAGACACAACAACAGAAAACTTCAGGCTAATATCCTTGATGAACATCAATTCAAAATTCCTCAACAAAATACTTGCAAACTGAATTCAGCAGCACACCAAAAAGCTAATCCACCACAGTCAAGTAGGCTTCATCCCTGGGATGCCAGGTTGGCTCAACATATGCAAATCGATAAATGTGATTCATCACATAAACAGAACCAAAGACAAAAACCACATAATTATTTAAATAGATGCAAAAAAGGCTTTTGATAAAATTCAACATCCCTTCATGTTAAAAACTCTCAATAAAATAGGTATTGAATGAATATAACTTAAAATAAGAAGAACCATATATGACAAACCTGCAGCCAACATCATACTGAATGGGCAAAAGCTGGAAGCATTTCCTATTGAAAACCAGCACAAGACAAGGATGTTCTCTCTTACTACTCCTATTTAATATAGTATTGGAAGTCCTGGCCAGTGCAATCAGACAAGAGAAAGAAATAAAGGCATCCAAATAGGAAGACAGGGAGTCAAACTATCCCTGTTTGTAGATGACATGATTCTACATCTAGAAAATCCCATCATCTTAGCCCAAAAGCTCCTTCAGCTAATAAACAACTTTGGCAACATTTCAGGATGTAAAATCAATGCACAAAGATCACTAACATCCCTATACACCAACAGCAGCCAAGCCAAAAGTCAAATCAAGAATGCAGTACCATCTACAATTGCCACAAAAAGCATAAAATGCCTAGAAATACAGCTAACTAGGAAGCTGAAAGATCTCTACATTGAGAATTATAACACTGCTCAAAGAAATCAGAGATGACATAAACAAATAGAAGAACATTCCATGCTCTTGGATAGGAAGGATTAACATTGTTTAAATGACCATACTCCCCAAAGCAATTTACAGAGTTAATGCTGCTCCTATCAAACTACCAATAACATTCTTTACAGAACTAGAAAAAAACTATTTTAAAATTCATGTGGAATCACAAAAGAGCCTGCATAGTCAAGGCAATCCTAAGTAAAAATAACAAAGCTGGAGCATCATGTTATGCAACTTCAAACTATACTATAGGGTTATGGTAAGCAAAACAGCATGGTACTGGCACAAGAACAGACACATAGACCAGTGGAATAGAATACAGAACCCAAAAGTAAGACCACACACCTATGACCATCTGATTTTCAACAGAGCTGACAAAAACAAGCAACGGGGAAAGGACTCCCTATTCAATAAATGGTACTGGGATAACTGGCACAGAAGATTGAAACTGGATCCCTTCCTTATACCACATACAAAAACTAACACAAGGGCGGATCACGAGGTCAGGAGATCGAGACCATCCTGGCTAACACGGTGAAACCCCGTCTCTACTAAAAAAATACAAAAAACTAGCCGGGCGAGGTGGCGGGCGCCTGTAGTCCCAGCTACTCGGGAGGCTGAGGCAGGAGAATGGCGTGAACCCGGGAGGCGGAGCTTGCAGTGAGCTGAGATCCGGCCACTGCACTCCAGCCTGGGTGACAAGATGGACTAAAGATTTAAATGTAAAGCCCACAACTATAAAAACTCTGGAAGACAACCTAGGCAATACCATTCAGGACATAGGCATGAGCAAAGATTTCATGACGAAGAAGACACCAAAAGCAATCACAACAAAAGCAAAAATTGACAAATGGGCTCTAATTATACTAAGGAGCTTCTGCACAGCGAAAGTAACTATCAACAGAGTAAACAGACAATCTACAGAATGGAAGAAAATTTTTGCAAACTGTGCATCTAACAAAGGTCTAATATCCAGCCTCTATTAGGAATTTACACAAATTTATAAGAAAAAACCCAAACGATCCCATTAAAAAGTGAGCAAAGGACATAAACAGACACTTTTCAAAAGAAGACATACAAGTGGCCAAAAAGCATATGAAAAAAAGCTCAATATCACTGATCATGAGAGAAATGAAAATCAAAATCACAATAAAATACTATCTCACAGCAGTCAGAATGCCTATTTTTAAAACGTAAAAAAATCACTCACGCGGGCAAGGTTGCGGAGAAAAGGGAACACTTATACACTGTTGGTGGGAGTGTAAATTAGTTCAACCATTGTGAAAAGCAGTGTGGTGATCCCTCAAAGAGCTACAAACAGAACAACCATTCAACCCAGCAATCCCATTACTGGGTATATACCCAAAGGAATATAAAGCATTCTATCATAAAGACACATACACACGAATGCTCACTGTAGCACCATTCACAATAGCAAAGACATGAAATCAACCTAAATGCCCATCAGTGACAGATAAAGAAAATGTGGTACATATACATCATGGGATATTATGCAGCTATAAAAAAGATCAAGATCACGTCTTTTGTGGTAACATTTATGGAGCAGGAGGCCATTATCCTTAGGAAACTAACACAGAAACAGAAAACCAAATACCACATGATTTCACTTATAAGTGGGAGCTAAATGATAAGAACTCATGGACACAAGGAAGGGAACAACAGACACGGGGACCTACCTGAGGGTGGAGGATGGAAGGAGAGAAAGGATCAGAAAAATAGCTACTGAGTACTAGACTTGGTACTTGGGTGATGAAATAATCTGTACAACAAATCCTCATGACATGAGTTTACCTATCTATGTAACAAACCTTCGCATCTACCACTGAACCTAAGGTAAAAGTTTTAAAAAGAGAGAGAAAGTGGACAAAGCAGGTGTATGCAAATCTTACAGGTACAAGTAAAGTCCTGGTTTGAAATATTCACACTGAAAATTAACCATAGTAGCTTTAAGGGAAGATTTTGAGTATAGACCAGTATGAGACATCGTATGGCACAGTGGTGAGGAGCATCATCTCTAGGAGTCATGGAGACTGGGATTTGAAGCCCAGCTCCTCCAAGCTGTGTTCTTTAATCAAACTACTTAACATCTCTGTGTCTCACTGTATTCCTACAATTAAGTGAGTAATAGCCATTTAGTACAGTAGACAACACATATTAGACACACACAAGTGATAGCTATTAATATTATTAAAGAACATTTAAGGCTGAACTCAGCAAGACTTACTGGTGGGCCCGCTGGTCCCAGAGCCACTTCATTGGTTTCAGTACAGGAGCAAGAATGAGGAAGGTCTGGGCAAGACTCATCATCTCTCTGAAAAGAAACAAAAAGAGCACAACCATTAGCATACCAGTTTATACAAATGGCTTTATTGGCTTAAAGAAAACAATTTGATTTAAGATATTTTTAGACTTTCAAGTGCACATTACAAAGGCAGAGAATATTCACTCCCGATTGCAAAATATATTCTGTAAAGAAAAATGAATGGGTACCTCCTGGTCACTGATAATCACTATTATCAATGGGTGTTGCTAAAACCAGCTTGGGAATCCAGGTGAGGAAAGACAATCAGAAGTGAGTGCAAAAAAAAATTCTTGATTACTATTTAATTCTGTTGGTTGGAGTAATAGTACTCTGTGAACTAAAGGTCTTGAAAACTTTTTTATGCTATAATAATTTTTCTGTTTCAAAGGATAAAAGAAAACTTGTTGGAGTACTCAATCAAAACAACTATATCAGCACTAAAACAAAGAAAAACAAAATCAATGTTTAAACTCATCATTAATTCCCTATGACAGTTTCCACAACTGCTCACATTCTGTGGTTGAAAGTAAGAAAAACATCACAGTGTAGATCTAAGGCTCTGGAATAGGAGAACATTTTTCTTCTCTCTTAGGGAATATTGTTATCATGTGACATTACAAAATAGATTATTAATGGAAGGCTAAATATATCTGAATGAATTACTGGAATCTGTAGAGGAAGACAGAGCACCTGCTAACAGCTATTGAACAATTTATAAATATCCCATTTAGAACAGCAGCCAAAATGAGCTCAGCACTGGGATAAGATACTATAGAACTTCATGGAGTTCATCAGTTCCTTTGGATAGAGAAAAAATTAGTCATTATTTAAGACTTTGGGGGAAAATAAAATTAGAGCCAAATAGAGCACAGATGACAGTTAAGTTGCCAAATTGAAAATAATCTGAGTCTCTACAACATTCACAACAGAAACCCAAGAAAGGTTAAGCAAATGGCCTGTTATATGGTGTGTATACTTTTCTCTAAATGTTGGACAACAGTAAAAGATTTCAATTCAAACCCCCTGTGAATACATCTGGCCTGAAATCTGGCCAGCTAGAGTGAAACATAAACTTAAGCATTCTGAAAGATCCCAAAATAAGGCTAATTACAGGCCACCTGTAGCCAGAGACTCAGTGATGGTTTTGCCAGTGCTGCTGACTGTTACTGCACCGTGTCTTTTTACTATGGAATTTACGCCTCTTCAATGAGACAAGTAAAAAGAAAAGGAACGAGAAGGGTCCTTCCCAGAAAAAGTGGTGATCACATCTTCGCTTGATACAACAGAGGATTCTGAGTGTTTCTGCTGCCAATTTCCCATTTACCTGCCCTTTCGCATAACATCAAGGTGTCGCTAATTTAATTTCTTCCCGGGTTTACTAGAAACTTATTTTGGTGAAGAAATAATAAGTTGCTTCCTTCTCAAATACAGACTGCCATGAATTTGGTGCTTGCAATAGATGTTGTGAGGTGATAAGTCTTAGTGATATGGTTTGGCTTCTTGATATAGTAAGTCTTACTGAGAGATTGGCTGTGTCCCCACCCAAATCTCATCTTGATATAGTTCCCATAATCCCCATGTATCACAGCTAGGACCCAGTGGAGTGACTTTTTCAACTCAGTAACTTTTTCTTCAGTGCATAATGTAAGCCAGGTATGAATCGCAGGGGTGGTTACCTCCATGCTGTTCTTGTGATAGTGAACACATTCTCATGAGATCTGACAGTTTTATAAGGGGCTTTTCCCCCACGTTTGCTCTGCACTTCTCCTTGCTGCCACCTTGGGAAGAAGGAAGTGTTTGCTTCCCCTTCCACCATGTTTGTAAGTTTCCTGAGGCCTCTCCATCTGTACAAAACTGTGAGTCTCTAAATCTTCCTTTATAAATTACCCAGTCTTGGGGATGTCTTTATTAGCAACATGAGAACAGACTAATACAGTTATAAGGTCAAATCTCACAGACTTCATGAAGGGTTCCCCACGCTCTGGAGAATTCCAGCTTTAATTACTAAGACATGACTACTATCCAACCATGACAGGGTCATCCATGCCAGCTCACTTGTTCTAGGATCCTAAGATATAAATCTGTTTTTTTGTTTATATATATATATGGGTATACACACATCCCATCAGTGAGAAATTATGGTTATTTAGGAATAAGATATAAATATCATTTTTTCTTCCAATTTATGTGTATTATATTTTATATGGGCTACTGAGTTGTTAGGACATAAATATTTGTACTATCACTTGGTATAAATAACTTTCAAATGTTTAGTTTTCTAGTAGGATTGCATACAGGTTATGTAGATTATGACTACAGTTCTAAAATTGTGCACCAAGAAGTCTGGGAAACTATATTAAACTCACAGGGCTCCTGTGAATGTTTTAAAAATTTAACAGAAGCACAGCAATACTCAGCACCCACTGGACTTCGTGTGAATGACGAGCTCAAGGTGGTCTGCAGTTTCAACATTAGATTTTGCAACACTTTTTTGGATGACGCCCTAATTTACAAATACAGCTGCTGTGATGAAAGGTAAGTACTATGAAAAAAAGCAATGTAGAAAAAGAAGTGAGGATGGCAATGGCCAATATGATTCCAAGATATGAGAAATACTGCAGGGGTCAGGTATGCACACACATCCCATCAGTAAGCTATTTCGGTCATTTAAGAATAAAATATAAATATCCCTTTTTTCTTTCAATGTATGTGCCTTATTATTTTACACGGCTACTCAGTTGTTAGGACATAAATATTTAGTAAGATGTTTGGGCCTATTATTTCATAAATGGAACCACAAGGTGTTTCTTTTGGCTTAGGGGTGCAAGAAAAAAGTTGAGACACTAAGGGCTTCATGAGCCACGGAATCTGGGAACATCTGGACTATGTATAAATGGAGCACTCTGAGTTGTGCCATTCACAGTGTATGTGATCCGAGGTCATGCAGGAGAAATTGTGTTAATTTCACACATGCCTCCTTATTAATCTCTTTCTAATTTTATCATCTCAATGAGTTGCCTATGATATGAATGTTGAGAAATAGCTTCTCATTTCCAGAAAATTAAATACAATAAAAAAAAATCAATAGAGATGAAGGAAGAATGCTTACCAGGCCTGGAAGTTCACAGCATTTGTCTGTATTGGCCCATGATGTGGAACAAACAATATCAAACATCTGTAACTGGAACTATGATTTAAAAAGAAAATTGTCATTCAATAAAAAATAAATAAATTATCGTTATAATTTTATGTTATGTACTATATAACAGATTTTATGTTATGTATTATATAACAGAATATCAATACATTAATAATACATGACAGTAAGTAAATTTAAAAGTAACTCCAATAATGTCAAACTAATTCTTTTCCTCAAACACACAGTGATCTAAGGTTTTGTCTACAATTTTTCATCCACCATCTAAACCCTCTTACTTATCACAACTTCCCCTCTCATTTCTACCTAAAGAGTAAGCTTAACTCCTCTGTTAAAGTCTTCCTCATAAGGCCCATCACAGCTGCTCCCAAATGACTGTCATCACACAACACTCCATGTGCCTCCTCTATAGCACACCTCCCACTACACAACACAATTATTTACATTTCCAAACTCATCCTTAGGTCACCTATCATAACATGTGGTAGATAAAAAGCACTCAGGAAGGCTTATTGAATTAATTCTCACTTCATTGCTTTGTACATAGACTCAGCAATGTTTTCTTCAGTACATAATGTAAGCCAGATACTATGTAGACTTTTAGGATACAAACATTTTTAAAAAAAATCATAGTCCTGACCTAGAAGAACTTACAGGGAGTGAGAGAGGAGCACATAAATACTGTACACAATGTGGTAAATGTCATGATAGCTTCACATTCAGTATTGTGAGAATGTAAGCTATGTGTATTTTTATTTATGCCATTGATCATGCCATAAATATTTAGACAGGCTTGCTCCACTCATGTATGTTGGTGACAAGTCAATATACATGTTGAAATATACAGAAACATAATTATAACATCATTAAGGGCTAACACTAGCCTAATGACCCAATCATTTTTACTATATTTCTTCCTACATTATTTTCAAATATTAAGTGTGTGCTCTATTACTGATCGGGGAGAAGGATGAAATTGTTTTCATTTTAAATCTGTAATCTTGCTTTCAGCAGTGGTGTTTCCAGCAAAGCCTGGAAATTCCTGGTGCCTTCCTTATTTTCTCCCAAATAGTACTACCCATCCTTCGCCAAACATCTTCTAGAAAAATGATAATGCCCAAGTAGACAGTACTATTGAAATATGTTATTAAAAATGCATGCACTGGGCCGGGCGCGGTGGCTCACGCCTGTAATCCCAGCACTTTGGGAGGCCGAGGCGGGCGGATCACGAGGTCAGGAGATCGAGACCATCCTGGCTAACACGGTGAAACCCCGTCTCTACTAAAAATGCAAAAAATTAGCCGGGCGAGGCGGCGGGCGCCTGTAGTCCCAGCTACTCGGGAGGCTGAGGCAGGAGAATGGCGTGAACCCGGGAGGCGGAGCTTGCAGTGAGCCGAGATAGCGCCACTGCACTCCAGCCTGGGCGACTAAGCGAGACTCTGTCTCAAAAAAAAAAAAAAAAAAAAAATGCATGCACTATCACAAAAGAACTTTTTCTGATAGAAAACAAATGAAATTGGGCTTTCTGTCATTATACTCAAGTAACGATGCCTTATTGCAAACATTCATTCCAACTGATCAATGAAGTAACCCCTGAATTTTCAAAGCAAATCCATAAGTCAAAGCATCTTATTTTTTTGATCCTATATACATCTATTGAGCTGTTTGCAGAAATATGTGCATGGCTCACTGCTGTTTTTTCTAGGTGGTTTAAGGTTCTCCTCCACCATCCAAGAGTATGATAACTGAGACCATCCAGGGCAATCAAACAAAAAAATTATGTCCAATAAAAAATTAAGTTTTTATTAGGTTAGTGCAAAAGTAATGTCAAAAACTACAATTACTTTTGCACCACCTAATAGAATTAAAACAGTTGAGAAAAGACATTATAGTTTATTTTCATAAACAATTACAACAATAACAACAAACATTTCAAAGATCATAGGGATTCTGCGAGTATGCAGCTAGACTGCCTGAGTGTCACCTCTGATTCCTCCACTGACAGACTGAGTCACTTTGAACAAATTATTTAATGTCTTGGAGGCTCAGTTTTCTCATCTGTAAAGTGAGCATAATAATAGTAGCTATTCATGTGTTTGTGAGGATTAAATAAATTAGTATAGAGGAAATATTTAGAACAGTGCCTGGAACATAGCTGCTATAAATAATAAATATTAGCTTTCTCAAAATTGATTTAAAGAGAAGGTGTACATATAATACAAAGGCCAAAAAAGTAGAATCAAAGTGATGGTGACAGTATTGAGGACAGAAATATTTAATAGTAGTTTGTTTCCACAATAATAATATCTATGAAATGTTTTGATTCAGAAAAGTCTTAGCAAATAACAACAACAATAGCAACAAACATTTGGAGAAATGAATGTTACTATGTGCCCGGCACTATCCTAAGCACTTCGCACATATCATTAAATCTTCAGATTGCCGCTATGGGGTATGATCATAACAAAGTCCATTCTGTGGAATAGAACCGGGGAAGAAAAAGTTTAAATAATGTAACCACATGTTGAAGGCTTAGTTGTGTTTGAGATTTAAATGGCATGCCCCATTTTCTTGTGGTTTATTTTCCCAGTAAACTGATCTTTGATCTAACTTTTAAAATGCAGATAGCCCAATGTAATCTTACAATGCCATTTTGTCTGGGGACATTTATTAAATGGGTCCCATTATGACAGCATTGCATAGATTCAGCTAAGTCTGCAAATCATTTATCCATTAAGAAATTTTCCATTTCTGAGTAGAGCCCTCAGAGCAAAAACATTTTCACGAATGGAAAGACTTACTTAAAGCAAAGGCCTTTCACAAGCCTCAGTATATATCAGGATTTCTCGAAGTTTTTCAAATAAACATCTACTACCTAACCACCTATAACAGTCTAATGTCTACAAACCTTTGGCTAGACTTCTGCCTTATGAAGTTATTGGGACTCTTAGGAGCTCAATTTATTTATTCCAGGGGTTGAATGCTTACTAAGTACTGAATGAAGCCAATATTATAATTTCAGGAATGTTACGTGGGCTGACTATTCTTTTGCAAGTTAAATGATGTCAGCAGCTTTTGTGAGTACAACAAATTTATTCATAATTGTTTGCACTTGTAATAGTTGAGATTCCTCAGCCTTTATTTAGGGACTTTTTTTTCCAAGGCACATTTCAGGGGATTGACTGAAAGAGAAAAAAAAGCCTCTGGCTTTTATTCCAAAAGCAATGACATACATATTTGTGCAAATTATACAGGAGACAATACAAGATGGTACGTCAAAAGATCTCATATTTGAGTACCTTAAAATGCAAGATAGTATGGCTCAAAATAAACAATACTTTAGCGAACTAATGCAAGAAGCAGCCCTCTTTTACTTTTTTAACTTTTTTGTAACTGAAAATTATAAAAGATATATCTTTGCTAAAAAAAAAAAAAAAAAAAGAGGAAGAGACACAAAACCTCCCACTTTCACTTTTCATAATCTCTTTCACAGGAATACTTAGCCAATTACGAATGTTCATTTTTCATTGTTAGACATTTTTTATCTGGTTTAGCACAAAAGGCAAGTTACTTGGGGTTAAATGTTAGCATGAAAATAAGTTGAGTCATTTTGATCTGTGAATGGGAATTAAAATGTACCTCTGGCTCCATTTTCCACTCAGTGCCAAATTTTATTCTCTGAATTTTTTTCTAACATACTATAAATAAATTTATAATTTGAAGTAAAGCTGTGCCTGAATTTATATAAATATTTAGAGAGCTTTACACTGCACAAGAATACTGGTGAAAGAGTACAGAGGAACTAAACCATTTTCTGTTTGTAATTTGATGTCTAACTTTTATTGACGCCAACACAAAACTAAGATTGTGCATTTACCACTTGTCAACTATTGAACTGATTGTTTTTAACTTGTTCTCAATCAATTTATTGAATTTAAGGGAAACCACGAAGGCACTGATTAAATTAGAAAATAAAAATTCATAACTATTGCACTCGTTGGTATTAATTAGAATTCTCAGGTATAGACACACTTGGGGGTAGTTTTGATTACTTTGCTGTCAAGGTTGTAATTCAAATAATGGTAAATCTTTGAACCTGTCAATGAACAGATAGGACATATAGTCTCTGGTACAAACCAAACTCCCTTCTCTGCCTTTATTCTCTAATTATCAGAGTCTGTCCTAATGGAATAAGCACTGGAATGAAAGGCAGATAACTTTATGGAAGTTGGATACAGTCTCTTATTTTACTACTCTAACTTTTTGAAAGGGGACCTGACCCTAGCTTCTTAAAGTCTCAGTTTCTCTATCTACAGAGTAGAGAAGACATAAGTATCTCTTTCAAGGATTATTACAGGATTAAACGAAATAATCCCAGGAAAGTACACACTGCCTAGCTCCTAGCAGAGATGTAATAACTATTAGCTATCATTATAATTTTAAAAGCTTAAAATAGATAATGCATGTGAAAATATACTATACTTTTTAGAAATTTAACAACACTTGTTTTCAAACAAGTGTTTGTAGAATCATCACCTAGTCTACTATTGATTTATATATAAAAGCTGTAACTCAGTGGCTAAAATGACAGGCAACTCCATGGCATAACTCATACGTCTCTGTTATTTGAACAGCAGGGAGCTAAACATATGCCAGTTGGATAATTACCTAAGTATTAGATTTGCAAAGGTAGAAGAAAGGCACTAAGAAATATGATCATATGCCAGAAGCTCAAAACTTTTCTAGAATTATTTCATTAGGTACCAGAAACTGCAGGAGAAACTTCTTAGGAGAAAAAGTTTGTAAAGGAGAAGCACAGTTGTTGAGTTTCATTCCACATGTATTTAGACAGCTAAGTTAAGCCTGCTTGTTAGGTTAGCCTCAGTAGAGACTGTTACTGCCTATACAATCTCGCACTGCTGAACACCAGTTGATATTTATTAAGAACGTAATTTCTATTGAGTAGTTACTGTATCCTTAAATGCATTAATCTATCTTCCACTCAATTATGGTTTATAAAGAATATACTTTCTTTAAAGACTAAATCTTTAGACTCTTCCACCATCTGGCATATATTGAATAATTGTTGGATTTGGCAGGGAATGGAGACCTATAAGTTACTAATCTCTCTCATATAATAATTACTCCTAGAATAATCGAGAATTTGCACAACACACATTCCCTTTTGCTGGATAGTAGAGTAAAAATGTATATCAAGGTTAGATTGGCAGTCTGTGATTTCTAAATTTAAAATTGAAAACTGAGACTTCTCTTACCTTGCACTGAAATGATTAAGTAATATCCCTCAAAAAGCAACTCTGAGTTTCCAATCACATTCTTGAGATCTAACCTAATACATTCATTTCAACATAATCAAATTCTTCAGTAAGTGGGCAGACTGAAAATCTAGTTAGTAATCCTTTGTAGACTTTTAGATTCAACAAATGCTATGACTTTTTTCCTACTAGCCTTACAAAGAACTCTTTAATTATTGACTTTTATAATTCTCCTTTGTCTACTACTAGTTGGAAGTAACCACAGAGAGTGCTCTGTTTAATTCCATTTCTCTCATTGCTAAAAGTAAAGATTGATCATCAGTAGGCTTGAAACTTGCAGGCATTTTTACTTTCAGAAAGAAATTAGTTGATATTTAGTTGGTCATATATTTGCAGCATAATTATTACATACAGTATAGTTTAAAATACAATTATACAACTATCATTGTGAAATATATTATAATTATAAAATAATTAGGAAAGGGTACGATATATATTATTGGACTATTGTCAACATCACACATGGAATATATGCAAAACAAAATTTTTAGAAAAGATATAATACAATTTGAAACAGACAACGTTCTATTTAATTTCTATCAAATGTTTCTTGAGAACTTACTCTGTTCATCAGTATTAATTAGACAATGTGATGTAGGGTGGTTTTAAACAAAGACAATGACATGGTTTCTATTTTGAGGCATTTATAATCTGGTTAGAGGAGTGAAATGTAGATATATGAAAGAGAAAGAAAATGGTATGTGACTATCAATAATCAAGTGCTAGAAGTCTAGAAAAGGTGGGATGGAGGATGGAGAATGTGTTTTTGACTTTCTTCAATAATAATAGTTACTCTTCAGCAAACACCTACTACTTTCAGGAATTTTACATTTGTTATTTCTAAAATTAAGAAAATATTAATAATAGTATTATGTGATCTGGACCCAGAATCTCATATACCTAGAAGGGTTTCTCTTTGTTTTTTTGTTGTTGTTGTTGATGTTTGTTTTGTTTTTTTGAGATTGAGTCTTGCTCTGTCGCCCAGTCTGGAGTGCAGTGGCGTGATCTTGTCTCATTGCAACCTCCACCTCCTGGGTTCAAGCAATTCTCCTGCCTCAGCCTACCGAGTAGGTGGGACTACAGGCACGTGCCACCACACCTGGCTATTTTTTTGTATTTTTAGTAGAGACAGGGTTTTACCATGTTAGCAGGATGGTCTCGATCTCCTGACCTCGTGATCCACCCACCTCGGCCTCCCAAAGTGCTGAAATTACAGGCGTGAGGTACCGCGCGAGGCCTGGTTTCTCTTTCTTAAATTAGAGTCTATTCATTCATCATCTAAGTATCCATCTATATATCCATTTATCCATACAAGATATTCTTAGTTTGATAATTCTGTGTTTTTATAAATTCCTTTATGTACTATCACAGGAGTATCTTCCATTAAGCAGAAGATGGTGTGTGTTTTAATTATCATGAAATGCCACACATTAGGAGGAGACAACTTTTCAAAATCATGTAAACATTCCCAAAAGTCTCTTACTGTAACTGAGAACAAGAGAGTCTTCCAAAGCTTTTACATTCTCTTTCCAAACATCTAATCCGTAATTCTCCAAAGCAAAGTAGAAACGAAAGAACTTTTAAAGATCCTTCAACTGTAGGTGTTAAACTACTTAGCATCATCTACCTATCAAGGTCTGAAAGTATCAATGTACCCCTACACATAAGGGGACACATTGCTACCATTCACTTCTACTGTTACCACAAAGATAAATGCTGCAAAATAGCAAAGTGCTCCAAAGTAAATCACTCTCTCAACTCGGACTATTTCCTGTGTACTAAGTGAATGGCAGTGGAATTAGAACCATGGGCCTGTTTTATTTACTTGACATAGTATAGGATTTCATTTTTACAAGGTGATCTTCAGCTTTCAAAGTCTTTGAGAACTACCAGCTCTTGTATAACTGGCTAATTCTACAGATCTATGAAAGTGGGAGACAATAGTAATCTATAATTATCTTGATTGTTCTATTACATAAGAGAAGTATAGATTAGAATAGTTGGGATTGTTTACAAGAATAAAATGCCTCACTAATTATAGAATGACTCAAATTAGACAATGCTGCTAATTAGCTGTGAATGAACAGTACTAACACAAAAAACTGTGTGCACTATTCTTTTCTTGTGGGTAATGAGTGATGGGAATGTGATTTCTTTGCCAATTGGAAGTCTCCCAGATTTAAATTCCATGTTGAATGGTAAAAAATTATATTATCTTAGAATGGTATGGTACTTAATCACTAATAATTGAAGGGTAAATTTTACATTATTGATAGCAAAAACCTAGTTTTAAAATGTCCAAATCTAACCCAAATAAGAGGCTTATGTCAATTTCCTGTGTGTAATATTCACTAATTTTGTGGGGATTTGTATTTGCTTATATAAATGAGGTTCATTTACAGTTGTAATTCTTTTCTAAAAACCATTTATGCCCCAAACCATGTGATGAATATTTTACCATTTAAATTTTAAAATGCATTTAGAAAATAAACTAGCCTAAATCCTAATGTATACTCCATATAATACAGCGGAAGCATAATACCACAAGCTTTGAATGTACATGTCTTAATTCTTTTAAAGAGGCCATTATCTATTTATTCATCCATCCATCCATCCATCCATCCATCCATCCATCCATCCATCCATCCATTTATCCATTCACCTTTTTGTTAAACCTTTCCCCTGGAAAATAGCTAATGTACTTTAAAAGAATTTCTCTCCCTTAACAGTAACACAGCTTCATGCGTTTATTCACTTACCGGTGCAGAGTTTCCATCTGGTCCTCTTGATCGAACCATTTTCCCTAGTACTTCTACACCATCTGATGTGATATTAGCTGATGCATTTATTGCCTTCTCACCCACTTGCTTGCAGTCAATAACCAATTTGACCAAAGTGTCACTGACAACAATGTGTAGCTAGGTAAAAGTAAGACGTTTTAGGAGGTAAGAAACAGAAGGAAATATCAACCAAATTTGTATAATTGTATGATTCATCATTACAAAGTAAGAAAGAGAAGAGAAGGAAATCTATTACCATGTATTTTGCTAGAAGAGAAAATTTCCACTTTTATCATCTCCATGATTTTCCCATATTCAAGTACCATCTCTATTTTTATCTAATTAACACTTCTTTTTAAAGTGGCTTTGAAAGGATTCACTTTTTAAAGTCTGGTCTCACTCAAGAGCAATTGCATCTTTGAAATCACAGAACTGCTGTACTAGCTATGCCTTTTCTGAATGCAAATTAACATAAACACAAAAATATTAAAATTAAAAATTCTTGTTGATATATCATCAACAATCATCCAAGGTACCACGAGTAGTTGGCAAACCACACTTTGAAAATATTTGTTTAATTTAGGATAAGGAAAGGGGATCTAGAATCTGAGGAGGAAGAAGGAATGCTTTCTGGTGAACTCAGGTTCAAATAAAATAAAGCTGTTTAGCTTAGTGTATGGTGCAATTTTCACAAACTAGAATCTCAAGAATCTGGAGGTCCATGATCATATTTTCAGGAGTTGACACATTCTTTGTAAGGATTTGTAAAAGTCTGTCTTATTTAGGTGATAGTCAAAGTTAGTTATATTCTAGATGGACTAGATAACTATACTATGTCCAAGTTCTGCCATAAAATTTCAGTGCTTATCTATGCATTGTAACTTATGATGGCGTTAGCCTCATGAGTACTATAGTACTTGTTTTTGGCAGACTGATGAGCTAAAAGAGTGAAATTAATAGGTAAATAATGATTTCACCCTAAGTAAAAGCCAAAGGAAGTTATAAATCTGTTTAAGGTAAGGTATAATGATAGTTCAAAGAAAAACTATCTTGGGCAATACAATCAAGGTTATGCAGTGAAATTAATAGGCAAATAATGGTTTCACCCTAAGTAAAAGCCAAAAGAAGTTACAAATCTGTTTAAGGTAAGGTATCATGGTAGTTTGAAGAAAAAACATCTTGGGCAATGCAGTCAAGGTTATGGGAGTTATAGTAGCTAGCGGTGTATTCACAGTGTAAGCAGAGGTTGAATGTCAATGAAATAATGTCCTCTTTCATATTCAGATAGTATTTCAACTTCATTTTTGTTTCATTGTTGTATATGAGTTGAAAACACATGGACTTACACCAATTTTTATTGCATGTTTCCTTTAAGTTAGATCATGATACAAATAATGTAAGTCAACATTGGGACTCTTGAGAATCCTTTTCCTTCAAAAAGGAATTAACTATTGCCCAAGTATAGAATCACTGATGGAATAAACCCCACCATGTTCCTTGCTTCTTATTAACATCTCTGTTATGACCACTTATTAAAGTATAATTCAACTCATATGTGTTTTTGAGCTGTAAAACACTTTCCATTATTATAGATTACAGCTAGAAAACCTAGCTTCTAGTACCCCTGCCTTAAGAATCGTTAACTTGTGGGAACTTATTCACACGTTTAAGTTCTTTTTTTTTTTTTACAAAAGGAGATAACGAAAATTTTTCAGATATTTTGCTTCTTTGGTTGCACTTAAGTGACCATGTATATAATTAAAGCCTTTTGAAAGAGACCTGGGGCCCACACTTCATAGTCAAAGTGTAAAAAATAAAACGAACTGAAAATCAATGAGAAATTAAGGTAAAGTATTTATTCATTTATAAGCCTATGAACAAATAGAATTTGATTTCTACAAATTGAATCTGCATTGAGATATTCTATTAATATGTCTATTATAAAGTATTTTGTCACATGAGAAGCCTTTTTATGAATTTTTTTCCTCGTTTGACTTTTTGGCTTTATTAACACTTAGAGGGAAGTCGTCCTTCATATAACTTTAAAAAATTTAAAGGTTTATAAATTTTAAATCAATTTCTAATGAACCTCACTTCTTGACTTCTTCCGGTAAGGAAATAAAGCTTAACCTTCACCTAAGACTTACAAAGGATTCTTCGGAATGAGAATTACAAGTTCATGCCTAAAACGTGGGCTAAAATGACGATGTTTCTTTTAACACTCATGAAATCTCAAATGCTTTTCATCTCTCATACAATTTTTTTTTTACTATTTTGCAATACACTGTCCATAACCAAGAAAATAAACATGCCAAGAGGAATTTGATGATTAAACAATGTTAAGTCCTAAGAGTTGCTAATGGGACCACTTTGAGCCACGAACTAATAAATCTCCACCTGTATCTCATGTGCTTTTCAGATACCTTTTCTTCTGGTAGTACAGCCCTATTAAACAGGAAAAAAAGTAAGTGGGGTTTTTTTTTTTGTTTTTTTTTTTTAGCAACTGTTCTTACGCAATTATGTGGTATGCAATTATGATATTCAAAACCACAGAAAGTAGCAAAGCTGCATAAATTAGATTGATTTGACCGCATTCTAGGCCATGAGACAGGAGCCAAGAAAATTGCTTTGCAGCATCCCTTCTCTCACTTTAAAAGGGCAGTAAGGGCCTGGTTAGGAAGCAAAGCATTTTTCTATACCACCTAGCAAATGCTCTGTTCATTCTGCAGTGTAGGTGCTGCACTGCTTAACACCATAGGTCAGCGGGTTTATTCAAATAGAAAGGAAGCAGTAGATGTTGGTAACTGTCCACCCCAGTGATCACCACAGATAAGTGTTTCTGAGAAGCAAATGTTAAGGAACTACCATAAGTGATGAGTTATTAAAATAATGACAAGTAAACTTAGGTTTTACAAAATTTTTCCACAGGGTACCTGTTATGATACAGTGATGGGTTGTATTTGTATACATGTAAAAATATCAGTGCAATCAGTTATCTCTGTCTGCATATTTTAAGATGATTCAGCGGATTGTGCTTTCATCTGCACTGGTAGATAGCTAGTTGTACCAGCTAGACCAGCAATCTTTTCTACATCGCACCTAATGTAGCAAATGAGCAACTGTCCACTTGGTAACACCGTATCCTTAACTACAATTTTCCTCAAAGAGGAAAGTGGCCCCCTTATTTTCTGGAGTGCCTGATCAAAAAAAAAAAAAAAAAATGCACACTTCAGGGTCCTCTCTCAGATCTACCAAATCCCAATCTCTGGGTATTGCTAACAATCACAAAGGTTAATTCTCACTCCAGTTGAAATTTGAGATCTAAAGCCCTATGGAATTTTTCTTAAATGGCTTTGTTCAATAGCAAACAGAATAAAGAATATATGCATACACAGCATTACTGACCTTGTGAAAGCTTCCATAAAAAATTTTCCTAATTTCAGGTCCTTCGAAAGTAACAGTTTGAAAATCCCCACTGTGGTCGTAGTTGAAATATGTTAGAGTTTTCCCACCATCTATTTAAAGAAAATAAAAATATTTTAGAAATAATTAAAGTAGGTGAATTTTTTTTCTAAAATTCAACACAAAACAAAATAATGCATCTATTGTTTTGAAACTGTATTTAGAATGATGTAATGGGTAAGGAAGTGATCTACAGTCCCCAGGTTGCTGCAGACTTTTAGTTGGTTACATGAACTGATTTAGCCACGTGGTGATGACAGTGAGGCAGAGACTTCCACACATACTCTTCCTCTGTACTTCTTGCCCAGACTCTCATCCCCATCACTCTCTTGGGAGAAATTGTCCAAGGGGCTGGGAGTAGAGGCAGACAAACCTGCTTTAAGTTTATCAAATCTTAAAGAATAGAAACCAGGCCCTTTGTCTTTTTAACCCACCACAGCAACCAACTTTCCTAGGATGTGCAAATTATGTCACCCAAGATATTTCATTTATTATGAACAAACAAGCAAAAAATTTTCTAATCTTAAATTCTTCCTGTTACAACGAATATTTTATTATTTAAAAGATAGGAATATTTTTCTAATTCATTCCTATGCTACAAATTAATTTCTCTGTTTTCAAAAGGAGCAAGCTAGTCTTAATCATTTTGAGAAAATTCTTCATTTTCAAGTCCCGGGTATATATGGAGTTAGTAACATATATCTTTTGAATCTACAGCTTTTCCTTAGTTTTAATATCAATGCAAAATGCTTCCACAGTATCATATTTAGTTGTTGATTAGTTTCCATGTACTGAAAAATCCTTTTACAAATACTAGTCGGAAATAAGCTTAATACTTTCCTTATCTGAATGTTTGACCTAGCACCGAGTAATAGTCTCCAAATTTTGGTTCCTAGGTTCACTGGAATCCTAAACTAAAACTAGATATAGAAAACTCAGTGATATTAACCAAAAACTTGATCTGCTTAAGTGATCATGTACAACATCCAAGAGCATGAGGTTAAGAAGCTTCTTTCATTGGTTCTTCCTCAACTTTCCAACCTCCAAATATTGGCATTTCCCAGCCTCCAGACCTATTCTCTGCTCTTTCTAGACTCATTTTCTAGATGATCCCACCCAGTCTCATGGCTTATATAGCAAAGACACACAACTTTCAAATGTGTATCTCCATCCCAGAATTGTTTCTAAATATGCTGCTGTCAATCTGACATCCACTCTGGGATATCAAATATGCATCTCACATTTATCATATCTATGTCCAAAAAATGAACTGTGATCCCACCCTTCCCATTGACCCTCCAAGGACCTTGCTCTTTCTGTAGTTTTTCCTCTCCCAGTAAAAATTGCTTTTCTCTCTTCTCCTTCCTCACTAGTGCATGCCAGGTCTAGTGTTGGCACAAAATAGGAATTCAAGAAATATTTGTTGAAAGAATGAGAAAATAAATGGATAAATCAACTGCTATATAATTCATTGTTTAGTATTTACACATCACATAAGATTAGCGAGTTACTCTGTAATATACACAAACAGGCGAAATGGCGTGCCACACACATTACTCATACATTTATGTGCGAATGTGATCTCAATAAATATACTTACTGTCTAAAATAACCCCAACCAATGGGTCAGAATTTTTATTTAAAATCTCCCAAAGAGCAAATGGCTCCTGTGGAGTGTCAGGCAGAATCCGGAATAGAAAACTGATTGTGTAGTCGGAGGGCAATCCTTCCGGATGCATGTACCTGAACATAGAAAGAAAACCATGTTTCACTGTATCCTTCCTCAAAAAAGTTACTCCTTTGATTATAAAGCAAATACATTTTCATTACACAAGATTTGGAAAAACAGAAAAGACCACCATTAACACCAACTAGATCACTGTTGTAGTGATCTAATTTAGTAAAGAATGTGTGCATTTGTCCAGTTTATATCAGTTTGTCCCTTTCTTTTCTTAGCACCATTTATTAGCCATTTTCCATTTCCTTAAATATTTTTAAGAGCACGATATTTCATGGCTGCACAATCTTCTCCTGTTTGGCTATTTTATCACTTACCTAATCAGTCGCTTCTCACTGAACATTTTAGTAGTGTCAAAGGTTTTCATACAATAAACAATGTTGATCTATTATCCTTTTGTAAAACATAACTTATGACATTATTACTTTCTACTACATGTTGTAGTCAATTACATTCCCATCTGTGTTGCACTATCCAGAGCCACCTTCAAAAATTAAGGGTACATTACCCCTGGTCCTGGGAGTATTGTCTGCAGACAGATTTCAGACACCAATCCCCTTCCAGAAATCTTCTTGGCTGAAAAAGGATGCCTCTCCCAAGGTCATGCCACCTTATTAGGAAACCTCTTTTCAATGACTGGTCATTGAGGAAGTATAAGGACCTGAACCCCTGAACCCAACGGGAGACAGCTCTGAGAGGCCATACCATTTTCAGAACTCCTCTGGATGGGTGGAGGTTTTACTGAGATTCTTCACAGCTTGACTTCTCCCTCTTGGCCTATCCTGCGTCCTGCTGTTCCCTTCCATGAGGGAACACCCTCACCGACTTCCCACATACCAATCTCTGCTGGAAAATCTGCTTCCTGAAGAGCCCATCCTAAAATATCACCTTGTCTCTCTTTCTAACAACTAATGTTAGTTTTACTCATTTACTTTTTAAATCTTCCTCCAAGCAAAAAAATACAGCCCTTTACATGTCGTAGGAACTCCATAATAGTTATTAATTGAATAAATAAATGTGCAAATTTAGTTTGCACTTGAAAAATGAAAGTTTGGTTTGCATAGATAAAAATAAATATTCATTTATTTATACATTCATTAATTCATTTGTCCATTCAATAAGTATTTTTTGAATGCCAACTATATGTCAGACATTGTAACAGACATTTAAGATGCATCAGCAAATAAACTGACAAAGGTCCTGTGATGGTAAATTTTAGGTTTCAACTTGACTGGATTAAGGAATATCTAGAAACCTGGTAAAGCATTATTTTGGAGTATATCTGTGAGGGTGTTTTCAGAGGAGATTAGCGTGCGAGTCTGAGTGAACTAGGTGGCGGAGATCCACCCTCAATGCGGACAGACACCATATAATTTGCTGGGGATCCAGAGATAAAAACAAGAATAAGGCAAATGTGTCTATAAAGTAGCTAAGTAATACGATTTTTACATAAACCTGACTACTACTCTTCAACTTTCTAGAGTTGCTGTTGTGACTGTCTCAAAGATAGAAACCATTTGAACCATATAGCACTATCATGAAATGATTCAGGGCCTGGGCACTGGAGCTTGATTGCTGGATATAAATTTCAACATTGCCATTTAACTATGCGAGCTCACTCAAGCCATTTAGCTTCTTTGTGTTTCTGATTCATTATCTGTAAAATTTAGGTAATAATGAAATCTACTTTCATAGAGGTGTTTGAAGGTTTGAGTGAGTTGGTGTACATAAGCATTTAGAAAGATGGCTGGCAGTAGTGCTCATAAGTATCAACTTTTTTTTTTTTTTTTTTTTAAGACAGCGTCTTGCTCTTTCACCAAGGCTGAGGTGCAGTGGCGTGATCATGGCACACTGTAGCTTCAACCTCCTGGGCTCAAGCAATCCTCCCACCTCAGTCTCCAGAGTAGCTGGGACTACAGGTGCACACCACAATGCCCAGCTAATTTATTTTTATTTTTATTTTTTTGTAGAGACTCTCATTTTGTTGCCCAGGCTGCTCTCAAACTTTTGGCCTCAAGTGATCCTCCCACTTTGGCCTCCCAAAGTGTTAGGATTACAGGAATGAGCCACAGCACTCAGCAATCATTTTTATACGTTGTCACAGATCAGCAGATGTTAAAGTTCAGTCCGCATTATGTGTGAGTCTGGTGTTTTTAAACAAAGAAAGGTAAATATCATCTACTCTAAACATTGTAGAAAATCCTAGCAGGGACTATTACACCATATTTCAAGTTGACATCATTTTCACAGTGAGATATAATAAACATATGATCGACTTTAAAATCTTGCAATGGAAACATACCTGGTTGGCTGGGAAACCAGGGCATCTTTATGGAGTTGGTAACATGGAAACACATTGAAAGTACCAGGCTCCATGGAAACCCCTTCCACTGATGAAAAATCTTTTTCAACCAAACCAAACATTTCCATCATTTTAAATCCTAAAAAAAAAAAAAAAAAAAGTAAAAAAAGAATAAACATAGGGAATATGGCACTTTAGAATTTTAAATTTTAATATTTTTCTATTAAGGATTTAAAAACAAAAACAGAAACCCCATCTCCAAATGAGAGGCATGTAATATATTTGTGTTTGAAAAGATTGTAATAATGCATACCTGCAAGATCAATGCCATCCTTGTGTACCATTGGACAGGCTGGAAAACCAAACAAACAAAATAAAACTCTAATTCGGATATTTCACAAACATACTCTTTCCCAGTCCTGAGAACAGGAAACTAATATAATCTTTCCAGAAGCTGATTGTGGAGAGAATCCAGATCAAATATGACTATGGTTTTCCGTGGTTTCGTAAAGATTGAAATGCGCTAAGGTCCCTTATTACAACTAAAGGACCACAGCTTCCTTCTCTCCTGGATTCATTAAAATCAATGGTTACTACCTGAGAGCATGTATTGGGACACATCTCCCTCATAATGTGTTGCCCAGATGAGAATTCTTAATACATTTTACATCTTAACACATTCTTAATACATTGAAAATTATTTACTGCATCTGTTTAAGCACAGTTGCTTTTAAACATAGACTCTCATCTGATTAGGGAAGGTTTTTATCAATCTAAACTCTAAACAGAGGAGGGGAGGTTTACTTCCATATGCTCAAGGCCGTAAAACTTAATGTCTATATAACAAGCAGCACTGGAAGTCAATATGCTTTTCTCAGATCAAGATGGGACTCATTATTTAACCAGTATCAAATATTTCAGCCGCTGAGCAACATGAGTAAGTACAAATTCCAAAGAACTAACTTGCTGATGCGGTTTCGCAGACAAAAGTAATTAACTCATCTTCGATTTTCTTAAAGGCGTCAAAGTCATCCACAAAGAAGACATGGCGTGCGCTGGGCTTACTGCCAATGCTAACCAACTCCGAGTAATCTGCGTCGGCCACACCAATTGCAAAAATGCTATAGCCTGTGGCAGACAGAGAACAGATTTCTGATTACTTTAAATTGTACAAAACACAAATAATGTAATATAAGACACGTCCAACTGTTTAAAATATGTTTATTTAGGAAGTCCCATGGGGGTGGATAATCCATTCTTTACAGTTCATCAGAGTTCTGCATGTATATATTTCATTATGTGATAATGATTCCATCATCCCCTAAAGAGATTTTCCATTTTAAAGGAACCCAAGAAGACCAAGGCCCCAATGTGTCCTTGAGATGAAATAGTTTGCATTTGAGTAATATCTCTATGGTTGCATATTTTTAAAAGTTACTTTAACATTTATGGCATGAAATATACTTGAAACAGAGACACTGAGTTTATCTCAGTTTTTTTACAGAAGTAGAAACTGAGACATTGATAGGCCTAGCAACCTAAGGGGGGTCACCATTCAATGCTTGGCAAGTAAATAGAACTACTATTTGCCATAACTTGTGTAATGTAATCTTCACAGCGGTCCTGTGAGAATCTCCATTTTACAGAATAAGAGGCTGAGGAATTTCTGTAATAAGGTTCCTTCCCTGTATACACACACACACACACACACACACACACACACACACATACATATATATTCAATCAATATATTTTCTTTTTGTAAAAAAATTTACTTTAAATTCTGGGATACATGTGCAGAACGTGCAGGTTTGTTACATAGGTGTACATGTGCCGTGGTGGTTTACTGCACCTATCAACCTGTCATCTAGGTTTTAAGCCCTGCATGCATTAGGTATTTGTCCTAATGCTCTCCCTCCCTTGCCCCCACCCCCGATAGGCCCCGGTGTGTGATGTTCCCCTCCCTGTGTCCATGTGTTCTCATTGTTCAACTCCCACTTATAAGTGAGAACACATGGTGTTTGGTTTTCTGTTCCTGTTTTAGTTTTCTGAGGATGATGGTTTCCAGCTTCATCCATGTCCCTACAAAGGACATGAACTCATTCTTTATCATGGCTGCAGAGTATTCCATGGTTTATATGTGCCACATTTTCTTTATCCAGTCTATCATTGATAGGCATTTGGGTATGATTAAGAGGCTGAGTTGTTTCTGTAATAAGGTTCTTTCCTTTGTCCTTTTCTTACAGTACTCAGTTGCTAGAGTTTCTTATAAAGGGCATCCTGGATGTAACGAAAGAGTTAGAGAAAATAACCTATTTTCTCTAACAAAACAGTACACTTACACATTTGTATACCAGAAAGTATTTTAAAAATTACACTGTCTAGTTCATACGAAGAAATATTTTAAAACATTTAAGTAATGCTGATATAGCCTATACATTTGTATTTAGAAAATAACAATTCTAACATTACATTTGGTAGCCACTATTGTTTATGTATCTTACCATCTAATTGCATCTCCCTGGAGATTTTGTTCACATCATCTTGTGATCTTCCATCAGTTATAACCACAATAACCTTTGGGATGCCCCTTCTTGTACCTGACTCTGCTGTGAACAAGGAATCTCGAACATACTTAATTGCTTTTCCTGAAACAAAGAAAGGCAAGAGTTTGATCTCACTCTCTCCCATTTTTGTTTTTCTGGGGAGGAAAGGGTGGGAACAAAGTTCTTAAATTAAGGAAAGAAAATCTTTTAAAAAATTACTATGCCTTAAAACAAAAGGTCACTTCAGTAGTTACTAATAATGAATTACTTTGAGCCTTAGCTGGGCTTCTTTTGGTCATACCTGTTTTTGTATTTCCTCCTTTGTATGAAATGTGTTTAATTGCATCAAGAAGAGTCTCTTTGGTTTTGTAAGCATTTAGTTTAAATTCTGTTCTGGGGTCATCAGTGAATTGAACCATTGCAACCTGGAGAGAGAAGGTAAAAATGTATTCATTTTTACATATATGTAGACTTCCACTGGGTCAGTAGTTTTAATTTCTTCATTATCTCATTACAAAATCTCCTTGGATTAAAATTTCTTTCATACAAGTTACATGCCAAATTTGAAGACAAATTAAATACGTCTTTTCTTTTTAAAAAATTTTATTTTAGATTCAGAGGGTACATTGTGCAGGTTTGTTACATGGGTAAATGGCATGTCAGTGAGATGTGGTATACAAATGAATCTGTCCCCCAGGTAGTGAGCATAGTACTCAATAGGTAGTTTTTCAACCTTCAGCCACCTTCTTTTTTCCCCCTACTAGTAGCCCCTAGTGTCTATTGTTCCCATCTTTATGTCCACGTGTACTCAATGTTTATCTCCCACTTATAAGTGAGAGCATGCAGTATTTGGTTTCCCGTTTCTCTGTTAATTTGCACAAGATAATGGCTTCCAGCAGCACCTGTCTTGCTGCAAAGAATATGATTTTGTTCTTTTTTTATGGCTGCATAGTATTTCTTGCTGTATGTTCACCACATTTTCTTTATCCAGTCCACCACTGATGGGCATTCCATGTTTGTTATTGTGAATAGCGCTGCAATGAACACAGGAGTGCATGTGTCTCTAAGTACTTTCAGGAAGTAGTTTTCAAAAAATCTTTTCAAGCATGTAGGATTTTTGCCACCTCATTTGACAGTTTAAAAATGGCAGCCTAAGCTCAGTAACTTGACAAATGTCCGAGAATCAGAGTTAGACTCTTTACAAAGATTTCCTTATGAAGCAAACCTATGAAGTAATTACTACTATTCTACTCACTCTACACTTGAGGAAACTGAGCTGCAAAAGACCAGTTACTTGCACATCACAAGAGTGGTCACTGGCAGAGTCAACAATTGAAGTTAGGTCTATTTTATATCAAAATGTATGTTCTTAACCACTACTATACAAAACTTTCTGGCTTCAGTTCTTACAACTTGCTTTTATTCCTGTGGAACTTTTGGACCATTTTTAATTAATTGTTTTTAATTTGTTTTTCAGAATCATGATGTAAGAAGTAAAGATAGCATCTTTAGAGTGCTTTCTTTGTTTAAGTGAGCCTTAAGCTGCTACCAGTTTATCAGTCTACTGGACATGTCACCATTTTTATAAAGTCTCCTCCAATTCAAAGGAAATTTCCTTCTTTCTGACGTGCCTCAGCATGTTATCTATTCTCCTCTTTTTTAATAACCTATTTTTATTTTTTTTATTATACTTAAGTTCTAGGGTACACGTGCACAATGTGCAGGTTTGTTACATATGTATACATGTGCCATGTTGGTGTGCCACACCCATTAACTTGTCATTTACATTAGGTATATCTCCTAATGCTATCCCTCCCCTTTACTCCCACCACACAGCCATAAAAAAGGATGAGTTCATGTCCTTTGTAGGGACATGGATGAAGCTGGAAATCATCATTCTGAGCAAACTATCGCAAGGACAGAAAACCAAACACCACATGTTCTCATTCTAGGTGGGAATCAAACAATGAGAACACTTGGACACAGGGTGGGGAACCTATTTTTATTTTCAATACTTTTGGGGTACAAGGGTATTTGGTTACATGGTTGAATTGTATAGTGGTGAGGTTTGAGATTTTAGTGCACCCATCACCCAAGTAGTGTACATTCTATCCAGTATGTAGTTTTTTATCCTTCACTCACCTTCCACCCTCCCCACTCTGAGTCTCTAAGTCCATCATACCACCCTGTGTTCCTTTGTGTAGCTATAGCTTAGCTCTCGCTTAAAAGTGAGAACATATGGTATTTGATTTTCCATTCCTGAATTACTTCACTTAGAATAATGGCCTCCATGCAAGCTGCTGCAAAGTACATTACTTTGTTCTTTTTTATGACTGAGTAGTATTCCACAGTGTGTGTGTGTGTGTGTGTATGTGTGTACATATTACATTTTCTTTACCTACTAATTGGATGACGGGCACTGAAGTTGGTTCTATATCTTTGCATTTGTGAATTGTGCTAAAATAAACATATGTTTCCTGGTATCTTTTGACATAATGACTTCTTTTCCTTTGGGTAGATAGCCATTACTGGGATTGCTGGAACCAAAGGTAAATCTACTTTTAGTTCTTTAAGAAATCTCCATACTGTTTTCCACAGAGGTTGTACTAAATTACATGCCCACCAGCAGTGTATAAGTATTCCCTTTTCAAGTCTTTAAGTTCTCTAGGTATATGATCATATCATTGGCACACAGCATAATTTAACTTCTTTTTCCAGTTTGATGCCCCTTTATTATTTTTCTTGCCTGATTGCTCTGGCTAGGACTTCTAGTACTTTCTTGAATAGAAGTGGTGAAAATGCATTACCTTTGTCTTGTTCAGTTCTCAGAAGGAATGCTATAAACTTTTTCCATTCAGTATAATTTTGGCTGTGTGGTTGTTTAATATGGCTTTTATTATTTTGAGGTATTGTTCCCTTTATTCCTAGGTTTGTTGGAAAGTATTTATCATAAAGGGATGCTGGATTTTATTGAATGTTTTCTGCATCTATGAGATGAACATTAGGTGTTTTGTTTATTAATTCTGCTTATGTGGATGTATCTACATTTATTGGACTTGTGCGCAATAGTTAAACCCTCTCTGTGTCCCTGGGATTGATATTCACTTGATCACATGCGTATTACTTCTTGATGTGTTGCTGGATTTTGTTTTAGCTAGTTTTTTGTTTGATTATTTTTGCATCTATGTTCACAGGAATATCA